GTCAGCCCCAACTCTCGCAGCCACTGGACCGTGGGCTGGAGCTTGTCTTCAAGGTTACAGACCGCAAGAGAAGGGCATTTGCTTACGAGTTCCTGTGCCTAGGAAGGCGACAAACCCAGCTGCAACTGCAAAAACTCGTGCAGATGCGCCGGGTCGAAGTCGCTGTCGCGCTCTGTTGCTACTTGGTCCGTAAATTCAGCTGCTGCCACCCGGGAGGTGCCGACGGGATCATCCATAAACTGTTGCAACCTTGATTTCAGACGAGGCTGCAATTTGCTACCCTGCAGCGTCAATAGGAACTCAACGATTTGACGAAGTGCCTTGACCAATGAGCACTCCCGTCCCATCTGCCACGACTCAATCACAACTTCCCCCATCTCACATGAACACTGCAATCCCCGATGCGCATGAGCTATACGTAAGACGTACGATCCGGCAGGTGAAGCGTCGAGCAGCGCTTGGCTCTTGCGAGTATCAGCAAGGATGCCACGAGGCTTAAGGTGGCGACAATAACCGTCATACTCCAAGAACAAAGCCGCCTCTTGTGCCTGCAGGGCACCATACACCGCCAAATCCGGGCTCAAAGTATTGCGACTCCATCCTTCGTTCCGCTCCGCAGGGAAATCTCGGAATAGTTCGCGAATCGGCTCCTCCGGCAGCAGAAGAACTGCCAAGTGCGAGAGGAGCTCGGCTTCTGCGACGCTTCCCAGCCGTTTCCGAGCACGTCCGGCTTTCCACCAGCCCGGAGGGCTCCGCACGGCGCAATACTCACAAGAAAGGAGAGTGAGAAAACCCACGATAAGGCATCCGAAGGATCTTGGCAGCTTGCGTTTCGTGGAGAAATTCATGCCGGAGCTCGAAACTGTGCGCGAAAGCTTCGGGGAACGGAGTCAGGTCGGATTCACAGATCGACCAACCTGCTTTTCTACAGGAGCGAGAAGAAACCCAAGGACACGCTTACACAACCCTGCAAGGCTGTCTCAACCTGTCATCTCACGAGCTTTCATCAGTGAAAGCCCAACGTCAAGTTCGAACTCCGAAGACAGAAGCTCGGACTCGCTTTGCCAGCTTCTCTGAAATTTCTAGAGGAAGCAAGCTGAAGCTCTACAGTGTATGGAAAGGTTTACGTGTAAATCTTGTTGCAGCTCCACATATGTATATACTCCACCTACCCCCTAGTAAGCCCTAAGTACAAACACCCCTTCCTATTTGAGGGTACAGGCAGTGTCCTGGTCTGACGAAATTCTTTCTGGGCTGAGGCTTGCCATGTGCAGGAGACATCAGGACTATGTAGCTATTGGGTTTCCAACTTTTGGGC